AGTAAACATTTTTAACACTTTCACTGCTACTCATTTGCCTAGTGCTGCCCCCATCCGGCCAGCCATTTTTAAAGAAAATGCCAAATTTCAACCTAGATATTTTATTACACAGAAAACTGGCACCAGTGTGTTTTACAGCCTTCCATTTTCATGGCTATACCTTGGAATGACTTACCAGATCAGTAATGATATCTTTTGAAGCGTTGTCCTTTGTGATTTTACGATAGATGGCGCAACGGGACACTCATACCAGCGGGATGCAAAGAAACGTAGGTTTCCGTACTTAACCAGCTGGAGTAAGATAAGAAAAACGAAGATCTCCATAGTTAGCAGCGGAAGTGTTAAACACAAATATGTCCGATTTTGTTTAAAATATAGATATATTTATATAAGATTTTTTTCCCATTCTTTCTCCTTTCAGTCGGCAGAAAAAATTAACCATAAAATTAAGCTTTTACATGTTTCATATCCTTTCTTTACTCGAGTGTCAAATTTTCGAGATGAAAATTGGAGATACCTCATTTTAAATGCGATATTGTGTTTCGTTAACAACTGTTAACTAACTCGATTCAACTTTCCTATCATGTTTCATCTAAATTCTTAGCAATCAAATCTGAGCGAAGACTAGACAGAAATTTTTAATATTCAGTCGACAATAAAAAAAATAATTCTTCTTCTTTATGTGCCTTGTCTCCTCGGGACGTAGGCAATCATGACTCTCCACAACTTCCTGCCTCCTGTAGCTCTTAATAAACTTTCTGTTATTTCTCCCAAACACTGTTCCGCCATTCATTTACTCAAGCTCACTATGTGTTGCTTTCTGTCCTTATTGCCTTCTATCTGTCCCGCGAGTATTATATTCTCCAGGCCCTCCCTCCTCATTATGCACCACAGAAACCTCAACGATCTTATGTTAAGCATTAGTTTCCTTTTTGTTTCTATTTACACCCAAAATTTGTTGTGGTTCAAATGTTCAGTCCAAGGTATCCTCAGCATCCTTCTGTATAAACACATTTTTGTCGCTTCAAGTCTCCTCTTCATCTTTGAGGAGATTATCCAGCACTCACTGCCATACAAAAATAATTAGAGATCTGTTAAACCAACACCTACCGGCATTGCAGTGCACAAGTCGTCCTGGGTATGACGATAAAATACATCAGGCAGCTTGGCCTCTGATCGGGAGGTTGGGGGGTTTGAGGAGCATGAAACCACCTCTTAGTTGCTGTTGTTTCCAAGTCTATCCTGACCCGGGGTAGTAGCACCTATTAGGGTCCCAGCAATGGGAAAATAATGACCCCCCCCACCTCGCCCGAAACAGAAACGAAACACTATGAAAATATAAAAACACATTTTATAGTAATAATACCAGCAATACGTGTTTATATAAAAACAAATTACCAACAATATTTGATTCGATTTCATTTGTTTTGTTTTACGGCAAATCAACCTCAATGGGTTATTTAATGCCGACACGATTTTTATTGCTAGTAATTTTTTTTTTCCAAAAATATATTGCTGGTAATGTTTTTTTCTAAAAACTCATTGCTGGTAAAAAAAAAAAAAAAAAAAAAACGTTATTTTACACTTTCATAGTGTTTTTCCACAGGGGGTTAACTATTTGCCCATAGCTAGGATCCTAACAGGTGCTACCACCCCGGGTTAGGGTGGACCCGGGAACAACAAAAATAAGGAGGTGGTTCCACGCTCCTCAAAACCTCCTGACCAGAGGCCTTGCTGTTGGATGTATTTTATCGTCATACCAACAATACATTTTATAGCAGAATGACTAACAGTACATTTTATCTGTAGTTAAAGGCATGCAATTGCTTTCAAAATATTTAGGTGAAGCCATAAAATTCTTCAAAATATTTACATTTCAGCATTAGGCAACCCATAGAGGTGTTGATATACCGTTAAACAAACAAATCAAAGCAGTGCACAAGTAGTTGCATGGGTTTATATTCAAATTCCTCTGTTGCGCGCCATTTTCTTTTATCTTTTTTTTTATATATTACTCCCCCGTTATCATAACGTTGATCACAGATTTTCAGTTGATAATCATATTTGCACAGCTTTGTTAAATAAAAGTTTAAAGGCACATGTAGACTTATTTAGTTGGACAAATCCCAATAAATATTCTTCAATAACGTCGAGCATTTGATTCTTTGATGTTTTTATAACGGGATGTTGCTATGGAAGAAATATTTAGTCACACATTTAAATTTCCCCCATTATGGGCATTATTACATCAGTGATATAATAAAACTGAACGTCACAGGCATAACAGCATAACTGAATGGGAAAACAATGACAAACATGTTTTGTTCGCAGAGTTTTATAATGCTACGTCGTACACAAATTTAAATATTTACACATATACACTTGTCCCACGCAGAGAAATTATAACATATATGCAACAACAAACGGTGTGTAAAAAGGGGGACCTCGTAATATTTCCTGAAGAGATAAATGAAGTTACGGCGTTTTCTCTATGAACCTGATTAAGCCATGTGTTTTTTTTCCTGTAAGACTTATCGCTGTGGGCTAGAGACGTCCTTCTTCTGTGAGCTTTACATCACAACCGGTCTACGTCACTCTATCCCCTGACGTCACTCGCCAGCCGTCATGTGACCCTCGTGACTATCTCAACAAAAGGAAGTGAATCACCGTACATAACAAAACAGTCGAATCATTGCAGGTTTTCGATATGACTAACGTCAGGTGTGAATTTCAAAATAGTTGAATCGTGTTTGGTGGTGTTTATATTTCAAATCTGCTGCTTTATGACGTCAGCTAGAAAACCGTTGAAACACATTTTAGACCTCTTTAGTAGCGACCAATTGTTTCTTTATCTTGAACTTTACAAACATGTTTATTCATAATCGTATTTTTTTAAAATTACCATTGTACGTTGTTTTATTTGAACCGCGTAATAACAAGTTTTGTTAGACAATCTTCTTCTTCTTCTTCTTCTTCTTCTTCTTCTGTTCCGGGTCACTTCAGGACATATGTGATCATTGCTCCCCTTAAATATTTACCTTATGTGGCTCTGAGCAGTTTTGTTGTCATGGTTATTCTTTTGATATGGAATGGAGACGTTTCCCGTCACCTTCTCCACGGTGTTTTTATTGAGACACCAACACTAGTTAGCTGGTCTTTGGCTCATTGAGAATTCTTCCGACCTTCGATAGATTTTATTTTTCCTCCTAAAGTGATATTGACCGCCCTTCTCTTCGTGCCATACAAAATGCAGAATAACTTATTAAACTGTCATGTCACATTGAAACAGCGATTCCCGCCCGATAACCGAAAATAAGCAACACCGAGCCTGGTCAGTACCTAGATGAGCGACCGCTTCGGAATAATAAGGTGATGAAAGCTTCGATGTGCGGGAGGGGGTAATGGATAACGGTTCAGAATGAGAAATCAGAGAGCAGAGTTCGAATTCCAGTCGGGTTCATTACATTCACTTACGCGCAAATACTCTCGGGAATCGTATAAATTTATCTCTTCTTCCTATCGAGCAAGACAAACTGGGACCTATAGCCGAGATTGGCAACCAGTCTACTGCAGAAACTAATGACACTCTACCGCAGGAATTCTTCTGTCAAATCAATCATGAATCGAAAAGATCCAAGATTATTTAAATAAGGTTTTTTTTTTTTAGATTAAACCATATAGATGATAGGGCATTGATTTCTCATGCCTGCATACAAACCATTGAAATACGAGGGTCAGCTGAAAATTATAGGCTGACCAATATACTTTAATGGACTGTGACTAAATGGGGTTTATTTTTCAACATTTCTTTTTTACAGTAAGGTTCACGCTTTACAAAATGGGGTCACTCAAAGTAGAGGGTCACTTTAGTAGGCAATTTGTGAAGATGGGAGTGGAATATAACAGTTAACCCTAGCATTTAACAGGTTAAGATTTTAGGGATAGGAGAAACATCTTCTTGGGAGTCGGTTCTACAGAGCAGTGGTTCACGGGAAGAAGCTGTTTGAGTGGAACTAACTTCTCAGCAATGGAATACAGAGGGAATGTGAGTGGTTTGCTACTATGTCAGTGGCAGAAAGAGTCAGGTACTTACTGGAGCGGTACAGGGAGCCGAATATATTACTCCCTTGCGGTCCACACACTTCTTCCATTGGTGTTGCAGTGCTTACATCAAAAGATGCCTTCCAGAAGCTGAGCAAAGTATTAACAAGCAGGAAAATATCGTTAGAAACAAAGAAAAGAGAACTGAACTGTTACATAATATCGGTTCTCCTATATGACAATGAATGCTGGAAAATCTCCTCACAGACGAAGAAGAAACTTGAAGCAATAGAAATGTGGTTCTACAGAAGGATGCTGAGAATACCATGAACCAAACATGTGAGCAACGACAAAGTTCTCGAGAAAATTGCAAAAGGACACTCATGCTTAACATCAGGAAGAACCGGTTACAATTTCTGGGCACATAATGAGGAAAGAGGGCTTGGAAAATTTGATACTCACAGGACAGATTGATGGCAAGAGGGAGAGGAAAGCAATGCACAACATATCTGGCAAGCTTGAGCAAATAGATGGCGGAACAGCGTTATAAAAGTTATCAAGAGCTACAAAAGACAGAAAATTGTGACAAGACATGATCGCATACATCTTGAAGGGAGTCGGAACATAGAAAAAGAAGTAAGCGCATATTGTATTTTTGTCTTTTCAGTGTATATCATCGATAGGCAAAAATCAAAATTAATAGCAATCTTTTACCAAGAACATACCGTAAAATTTTTCACTAGTAGAAATGGCAGGTTAATTTGGTACCGAATTTAGAAACTTGAGGTCTAGCTAAGAGACTACAGTGAAAAAAAAATAGAAATAGTTCAATATATATAGAAAACATGTTTAAACACTGACATACGACATTAAAAAATCTCAAAAATTCGATTTTCTTGGTAAAGAAAATCTTTGTCCCTATTGCGAGATTATATTTAAAATGTGGCTTACGCTTTCACGTTGAAATGCCGGTTCCCGTACAATCACTGAAGTTAAGCAACTTTGAGCTTGATCAGTACCTAGGTGGGTGACCGCTTTGGAATACCAGATACTGTAAGCTTGTATGCGTGGGTGGTCTAATGAATAATGGCTGAGAATTTTTAATAGGAGAGCCGAGTTCCACTTCCAGTTGTCTTCGCTATATTCACTTAAGCGCAAATATACTTGGGAAAGGTATGAATCCACCTTTTCTCCATCCACCTATGGGTTAATTAGTAAGACTTGTATCACTAAGCCGCTATTATCTCAAAAAAACTCTTACAATCTAAAAACCGTCCTGGGTAAGACGATAAACAGCAAGGTCTCTGATCAGGTTTTGAGGAGCGTGAAACCACCTCTTAATTGCTAGTGTTCCCAGGTCCACCCTGACCCAGAGTGGTAGCACTTGATAGGGTCCCGGCTATGGGTAAACTGGGGTCAAAAAACTATGAAAGTGTAAAAATAGTTTTAATATCAGCAATAAATTTTTTGAAGGAAAAATTATTACTAGCAATACATTTTTGAGGAAAAAAATATTACTTCCTGATGTTATCTGTCTGGAGGGAAGGGGATGATTCCAGCGTGCGACACCATTGGAAAGTGCCCGAAAACCATACCACCCTTGTCAATACAAATACATTTGTTTAAAAAAAAATTTTTTTGTTTAAATTAAAAAAAAGAAACAGTTTTTAACAAATGTATTTGCATTGATAAGTACAGGGAATTTTTTTTTCCCCGAGAACAAAACGGGCATCTATATGGGATAATTTGTTTGGTTTCATCGATTATATATATATATATATATATATATATATATATATATATATATATATATATATATATATATAAGTACAAGATTGGCACAGATCGAATAAAATTTCGATAATCAAAGACATTCTTCTTAAGTGTGCTCAATATCGAGTAGAGCAAATAATATTTATTCAAAATTATACTATATGTATGTTATAACATTACTACGAAAAAATTGCAATTTTGTTTCAACACTTCCGGCATCTTATCAAGTGATGGTATTGATTGCAAAACCATCAATCAACGCCATCACTTGATAAGGCACCGGTCGTGTTGAAACAAAATTGCTATTTTTTTAGTGATGTTATAACGTACATATAATAAAATTTTGAATATTAAAAAGAAGAGGGGTGCCGCAAACGTTTTTGGTTGTAATGTGGATTTATTGAGAAAAAATATTATACTTTGTTTTACATAATTTCACGACACTACAACACTACAACCACTGGAACAACTACAACATATTTCTTTTATATATATATATATATATATATATATATATATATATATATATATATATATATATATATATATATATATATATATATGTACGTATATGTATATATTTATGAATTATCTTGTTTATATTAATACGAAATAATTTCAGATTATAAAATCAATTAATTGCTTAAGTGTGTGTGTGTGTGTTAATACTGTCTATATCTCTAAATTCTCTCTTTCATACTGAGCTGTCTTCCTCCATAAATATACTTTATTTTAAACAAGTATATGTTTATAATACATATGTATATTTATGTATGTATGCAACGTAGAAAGCGAGGGCCAGAGAGCTGAAGCGGAATAATTAATAGACGTGAAATATGCAGACATAGGTAAATGTAGCGGTCACAAAATCAACATAAAAGGTGACGATGGACGGCTTGTACGATTCATTAACAACTGCCGACGCTTGTAAACGCCTTAAACTGGCCACGCGCGTATCACTAATTATTCCTGTGTCGAATTCGCTGCCCGAGGGACAAAAACGACTCACAAGACGTGGAAACGATAGAATAACTTTTTTTTAAACAAAGCACGGGAAAGAAAGAACGAAGAGAAGAATGAAAGAGATAAAAAAAAAAAAGAGGAAAGAAAAGAAAAAAAAGCAAAAGAATATCCCCGCAGGTAATGTGCCCACTTGTGATTCAGCATAATTTTAAAACGCGGCACTGTTTAAAATTCATTAAATTATAACGAATTACACAAAATATGTTTAAATAAAATCGATTTTCTCAAAGGTGATGTGTGTTGTTTAAGGTGTGGGGCCGGGAATCGGTGGTCGTGTGTTTAGGCAGTGGTTTTAGCATTTTCAAATTGGAATTTGATAGGCAAATTATTTAAAAATGAAATGAGAACCAAAAAAAAAAGTCTTATCGGACGATAGAAGAGACAAAACAGAAGTTGAAAGATAGTCACATTCAAATTAAATTGGAAATAGTTGTAATTTTTCTTTCTTTCTTTCTCTCGATATATATATATATATATATACACACACACACACACACACACACACACACACATATATAAAGCTATAGTTGAGTTTCAAATGGATTTTTCCAAAAAATCGTTCTCGAAGCTTTAATTTTAGTTTTAATTCCAAGTTAATATTTTCCAAGTTAATATAATCAAAATACTTTGCTGTATATCAAATTCAAACCGAATTTAAATTGATTAGAATCTTTTTTTGCTTTTTTCTCATTATTAGTAAAATCCATAAATATTCGTCTATATTAACAGAACTGTGAACACAAAATAATTACCTTTTTTTAAAAAAAAAATATTTCGCAAGTAAAATACACTTTTCTGAAACGTAATCTGTGGAAAATTAGCTGATTTAAACTTTAATTTGAATCACATCAAATGTTACTTTTCGCTTCAAGCATTGTAGCAGAAAAGAGTGCTCTGCAACGGGGGTTGTTTTTCATGTTGAGCGACTTATTGGTAGTCTGATGTTTGATAAATTTAAATAGGAAGGACACAACTAAGAAATGATTTGAAGAATACTTTTTTTTTTTTTAACTACCAAGTAAAAATTTTAAAAATATTTTAAATAATCTAATATTTTATTCAATTTTAGATACTTCGGCTTTACAGTCTCACTTCCGAAGACGATTATTGAAGAAACATTAGAAAATTACCAATTACCAGATTTTTTTAAAATTTATGATAGGTACTTCTCTTATTTTCTGTTCATGTTGTGTATGGACATCCGTACTTACACAATTCGACACGTTTACACACAAGAATGAAATTAAAATTACATTTTAAAATTACAGGGGTTGTTGAATTGCAGTGGGCTTTTCCATTTAAGATTAGTGAATATAATTTTAATTTAATAGAAATATTAATTGGCCGTTACAAATAAATAAAGAATTTTAAACGATGTTCCAAATCAATGAGTTTTTTCATCGCAAATAGACACCCAAACATCCCGTACATATATAGAATTTTTTTAAGCGTAGTAAGGCCAAAAGTATGAGGTACCCAGTGAGGATCGAACTCACTATTCAGTCTTGATTGATTTAGCAAGACAAGCTTTCTAACCATTACACCACAGACACCACACCCATGTTCCATACGTCTATATGGTCCCGCTTTGACTCCTCCAAACAAGTTTTTTAATTAATTTTTTGGAGTTGATAGATTCGCCTGTCGTCCGGTTCACACTCCTCCTTTGTCTCTTGTACATGAGTAGAGATTTATTCCTAGTTTCTTCTTTAGTATTGGGTTTACGGTTTCTTCTAAAGATTTCTCATTCTTCTTTATTTTCAGCAGCCCCTTGCTAGAGGCGAGAGTAAATTTATAAAAAAAAAAAAAAAGTATCCTTTTTTAGCAAAATTTGGACGATAAAATTAAAAATTAATTTATCTTGTTCCTACTCCGTGTTTTTCAGAGATTACATCCACTCGCCAGGGGAATTGGTCAAAATTGTGAATAAACTATCCAAAATTCAAGTTTTGTTTAGTTTTTTTTTTTTTTTCTTCATTTACTTTCCACCATCTCAATCATTACAACGAATTCGATGTTGTCAGTAAACTAGGCAAATATTTTCTAGCATTCACGACCGGGAAAAACTCAAAATGTTCGAAGCTATACAAAACATACATATAAAAGAAACAACCTGCATTAAATGAAATATCTTTCAACACAAAAAACAGTATATTCAAGAGCCTATAAAAAATAATTTACGTAAAAATAGATAGATAGATAGATAGATAGATAGATAGATAGATAGATAGATAGATAGATAGATAGCTGTGATTCGGTTTCGATTAATACCATCATTTGACAGATCCTAATATATAGGAAACACCCCTTTTTAATCCTGATACGGCATTAGACTGTCTTGCACAGATGTGGCAACGTTAGACACTTCTTGCTATGGGGATTACCATATCTTGGTGAGTTTTCATATGACATTTTCGTTCACCAACATAGGCACATTCTTTTCCACAATACATACACGTAGAAATACCCTATATAACACAAACAGTGACACACATATAGAGAGAGAAAAAGAGAAGATTTAAGGACAAATAGTCTGATAGATAGATAGATAGATAGATAGATAGATAGATAGATAGATAGATAGATAGATAGATGTGGCCCCATTCTTAGTGGATTCTACGGGACTAATAGAGGAAGAGAATAGACAGATAGATATAGATTTATATATAGATAGATTGCTGATACCTCCTGAAGAGTGGACGAGCAGGTCCGTTTACGAAACTCTGGAGTCGGAATGCTGACGGTAACATAAATCAGCTAAGTGACAAACCTTTACTCATATTAATCCTATATATATATATATATATATATATATATATATAGAGAGAGAGAGAGAGAGAGAGAGAGAGAGAGAAATATTTAGAGAGATGAACATAGATAGATAGATAGATAGATAGATAGATAGATAGATAGATAGATAAAAAGAAAGAATGAATGAAACGGTACCTACTCGGAAAATGTCATTTTTATTGTCTTCCTTGATCGTCGTAATTTTTTCATTTTATTACAAACTGACCGTGAATGACATTCTCTTTGTATCTTTCATGTAACGAAGAAAGACATTAAATAAAGAAATATCAGGTCCAACGACTATTACAAAAGAATGCTGGGTCCTGAAAGCTCTGACACCGACACGACCCGCTGTGTCATTGCAAATTAATCTAAAAAATACGATACCATTCTTTCTTATTTAATTTCTTACTTTCTTTTTACTGCTTATTCTCGATTTTTTTCATTGCCTCATGCTTCTTTCTTTCTTTCT